TATATATATATATATATATATATATATATATATGGTGGGCTGCTATCCGCTTCGGGACTGGCGTGTCATATCGCACGCTGCCGACGGGCACCCGCGCACAATGCTAAATGCGAAAACCGTCTGGGTTGAATGGCATGTGGATCCAAGTCACCTCTATGCAACCCTGAGGGAATAAGATCACAGGGTAAGCAGGAGGGGGCAGCTCTAATGCCATGCTCTAATGCATGTTCAACTGATGGCTGATAATGCCAATTCAAGTGAATACGGTTAATATGGTGTATGCAAAGGGTTGTGTCATAACCATCACCACTCTGGAAACGCAGTTAGCCAGTGACCACCATCATTCAGCTGGGTCGGTACAACAATGATCATAGAGCGTCACCTCTGGCACCGTTATAAGCTCAACACTCGGGGATATTCTTAAGTTTATTGAGGGTATCTTGCAGATGAAAAAACAAGTACGCATAAACAGAATACGATAGAATGTACCAACTCAATCCAGTGCAGTGTGGTAAAATATACTGCAATATATGAATTAACTTTTGAAATAGCAAGAAAAAACAGTCCGGTAACCAAATGAGAACCTCGGCATTGAAGGACCGCTTAAGATCCTGTTAGGTTGCGGCGGCCTTCGCAGCCATACGGATGATACTTGCATCGTGGAGAAAACATTGTCTAATGACCCGCAACAGATGGGATGCGTCCGAGGCACACACAAACGGCTGGCTATTGTTAGACATTGGTCAGTTCGGTGTATACAAGGAGAAAGCCACTCCCAGCATTTCTGTATGCTCAAGGTTCTGGAGCGTCCGGAACACAAGCGGGGTCTGTTGATACCAATCTGAAAAACCTAGTGTCCGGCTCAGGTAGACTGGGGCTGTATTACTAATGGCCCGAACACATTGTACATAGTAAAGCGTCCCACTCATCGTTCGATATGACTCCATCCACACGACAATTATAACTTAGTCGGCCTTGGTGTACAGAATCATTCGGTGCGCACGCTATTTTAATTGGTTTTGGTATACACAACGATGGCCACGGAAGGTCCTTTTGGCGCCCTCACAGACCTGGCCATCTGGTAACCTCAGAGAGACAAGGCGGATCTGATAAACTTACTTCATCCGCCGGCGTTTCGCCGACGGACTGCCGTGTGACTGCTTAACCCTATGCATTCAGCACAAACGCCGCCGCAGTCGTCGCAAATCCAGCTTGTGCAGCCTCCGGGTTCAACAATTCTGATGACATTCGTGTGTCTTGCACGCTTGAGATGTCTGGCTTGAAGGTGGTAGGTGTCGGATTGACACACTTAAATTCGTGTAATTTTTCTGCAAGCCATCCTACTTTATGCTTCTTCCTTCCACTTCACGAGATCCACGTTAGCACCTTTTAGACTTTCAGCCAGTGTCCTGAAGGTTCTATCTGTGAGTGTCCCATTTCTTCATATCCACCTAACCATATTATAGCTGTTTCGGAATCCTGTCGCAGTTCATTTGCCAAACATGATCCTGCCACCGCAGATGCTAAAATGCTACCCTTCTACTTATTTCGCCAATAGCCGGATAAACTAATTGCACTTGGGTTGTCGCGTCGGATTCTGAAGTTGGGAATTTCGATCTTTGATGGAAGATTGCATTCATCTGAAAGATATTTTTAGGGTTACTTTAGGAAGGTTTCTTGGACTACGTATTGTAAGATTAATCTTGATATACGTAGTTTGTACTGCAAAGGATTTGATGATAAATCCAGATTCCGATGAGTTTACCAAAGAAAACAAAACTAAGAAAAACAAGTGCGCTAAAAACTCTCTTCAGTCCATCAAGTAACCTAAGGTGTTTGCTTTAAATTGATACCCAACGTAGCAGTGAAGATAACAGAGATCCCGTACCAGGCATGATATGTCTCCGTTTGGAGACAAGCTCAACAGAACATGGCTGACTATTTGGCCCAAAAGAGTTATTTTCTCAAACCGCTGAGGATTATTTTGAAATTCCCCACAGGATGGTTACTGATAACGGATCTTGCACGTTACCTCTAGAGACAGGCTCTCCTTAAGTTGCCAGATGCCCCTTTCCCCTCGACCGTCTGTTCCTTAGAATAGATGGTGTAGGTTACAACAACTAACCACACTCTGTATTGGCCTGACTGCATTGATAGTGGTTTCTAGTTGCAGAATACCTGGATATCTGTGACATTTTGCACCAAAACTGCTTCCTATTTTACCAGCTTTACTGTGTAAATTCATGGCATTCGAAAGTATCAAGGAGCTCTTTTGGGTTTATTGTTTTCTCCAATTATTATTGCCATCAGGATTCTGTACGCTTACTGGTACTCTTGTGTCTAGCCGAAGGTACCGTTTAGTTCAGCTTATCCCTTCAACCAGAAACCTCGAGCAATTGCAATTTGTTTCGGTTTATCAGAAAACCTGGACGCCGTAAGTTCAAGAATAGGGATAAGTAATGGATTGAATGTTGAGGATAATCGAACGGACCGGGTAAATACTAGTTGCGTGGCCCAAACCTAGCAGATGAAACAAATTAACGTCGTTGTTCCATACCAAGCTCCTGGATTAGGTTTTGTTTACGCTGCTTCATTTTCCAGTAAACAGATCCTACGGGAAACTTGACTTAACCAGCGAGGTTACTTCAGTCGCGCAAGCACTAGATTTGTTACAGGGAGTGATTCTTCGCAGGATTCGTGGGCAGCGTTGTAAAGTGCCAATAGGTAAATTTCCTTTTCGCCTGAAGCGCATACCTTTGTACATCAGGAAAACTGCTATGTTGAACAACCAGCTTTTCACCGATGAGCTAACCACGGAGTCGCTAAGGGGCCTAAGTTGATCCGGACATTCGCCACTTTGGTAGCGTCGTCATCCGGAGAGGTACAAGCACCAGAATAAGTTGATTTATCAACGGATTCTAGAACTTCCAACACCATGAATAGGTTCGGTGTTGCATTCACCTAGCTTTGGAGTAGCATCTTGCACTACACCCCGAAGTACGTTAGAATTTTTCAGGTTATTCAGCGTATTTTGTATTTGGGCGGAATTTTTTCGAGCAATGCGATATCGCTTGCACACCCAAGATAATTAGGGTCTCTCTCCCAAAATAATATCCACCCCAAAGAGAATAGACAAGTTTAAGGCTCCATCTATAATACGTTTGATCTCAGAAATGGCTGGGAAGTACGATTATGGGCAAGTCTGAAGAACACTAGTTCTTCCATTGGAATTAGGAGGATATTCGCTGTAGATTTACACGTGTCCACAGGATTAGGACTATAGAGTTAGAAAAAGTGTGAAGAGCTAAGGCGCAATTTTAGATTGCATGCATCGCTACGAGACTGTTTGGTTGGAGCTTCTTTCCATTACAATCGCTGTTGATCTTCTGTGTGGCGGTAGGAGGACAAAGTTATGGCTAGTGTACCTGAGATCTGGACACAACTTTGCTTGGTCTTCGTGGTACTGACTTTCGCGGATGCCTGTGAGACACATGTGACAGCTACAACCACTGTACGACAGGTACATGGTTCTTACAGCTTACAATGATGATGATAATGTCTTAGAACCAAAGGTTGCATAAGTGAGCTGGTGTTTGGGATATAAGGTTTTAATGCTTTTTGGAGAATCTCAGCAGCAGTACAGAGAAACCTTTAGCACCCCTTTTGCCTTCCAAGTGCCAGCATGGGTTGCGCCACTCAGTGAACAAGATTTTTTCCCTTATTATTCACCAAAAAACGGCCGGATTTGTCGTCTTACTGAAACTACCAAACGTTCAGTACTCATAGGCAAGGCCAATAAACGTAAGTGCATTCAAAAGTCGGTGGAGGGGCGAATTTGAATACTGCACTATCTAAGCCTGAACTTGGCATAGGCTTGTATAGATTTGCTCGCACTCATCGTTGCTAGAAATTTGGCGGATATCTTTTCAAAAAATTTACACTTATCAAAATGATGAACACAGTTACAATGGCCGAGCTTTATCCTACACTGCCACCTAAAAAACTGTGGGATTTGGTCGCTTAGACTTCGGTATATTCGTATAAAACGAAGTCGTTTTCCACTTACTTTGCTGCCCAAGTACTTCATGAATTTACCCAGTAGAACGACACTCATGAGTGGGTACAGCGTATGCCAGTATGAAAAAACAAAAGTAACTCGTGTGTTAAGAGCCACAATAAACCGCTGTGAGCACTCTCAAATATCGGATAAGTATGCACTCATTTCTATCGGGTTCATCAAGTAGCCTGATTGACACAGCGCATCCTTGAATACGTTGTAACAGGTCAACATCCCAGATTGTTTCATCCTTTTACCTGATACAGAATCGTCCGGCTAAGTTTCATTTAGAATGGGGAATTGTTCAAAGTCCACATTGTTTATTTTTATCAAGAAATTATTTACGTTGGATGTCCCAGATTTTTGAAATCGCGACAAGATCTTCGGTGAACTTCCGTAGTAGTCCGGTAGTCTAAATCGTTCGTGCATTTTCACTCCACGAAAGCCCCAATTGGGTGACTTGAGATGGCGTGACCTTCACGAGCTCCTGTCGTGCAGCAGACATGACAACGCCTATTTCAAAAACATCCTAACCATGTTTGTGTGAGTGATGTTTTAGCAACTTCATAGTGTCATATCAAAGTATAAACTAACACAATTTGCGTCGGGCTGATCGTCTGCTCGTTTGTATCACCAATCCCATAGGAATGGGACAAATATCGTTTAAGCAAAGATCCGCAATTACTGTGGCAGCATCGTCACATTTACATTATAATGGACAAGATTATTATTATTTGGGCGTAAATCGTTACTCATAAATTTGCTGAAAACTCTTCGTCCATCATAAATGAAAGTTTCAACTGGATTCAGTTGGGCCTGTCGTCAAAACGAAATTCGTGTGTAATTGAGGGTATTTATCGATATTATTATTATTGTTATCGTTATTACGTTACGTCCATCAGAACAGTTATTTTAACATGTGCCGTCATAAAATATTTGGAGATGGAATTTGGATTCACGTTCGTAATGATTGTGACCATATGAAGATACCGAAGCTCAACTGATGTATAAATATGACTTCCTCCTCGGCTTTATCCACCTCAGACTCACACACTCAGTTTTCAAGTTCAGTGACGAAGTGATAATGCTTCCATAAAAAGCATACGATCATCACTGTCCTAACAATGGCTTTAGCATATGGCTTTCTGAAATTCCGCATTATCTGCAAACACACCTAATAGTTGGAGACATTTCGAAGGAGTTGTAGGAAAAATTAATCAGGAAAATTGCGAGGCATGAAACCAGTTGCAAGGGAATTTATACAGATTAGGTGGGATCTGAAGCCCCTAAGGTCTGTTTGACTGGTTGTACGATTGAACCGGGTGAGGAGAAACGGGTGCTTAATTTCCATTCGATTGTTTAATATACTCACAGACTTTATTTCTGCTTAGAACTAAGCAAGTCGTGTCTCAGTGTGGGGTGTTCTGCGTGATTTACTTGAAGGTGGGTGAAAAAGAAAGGCAACCTCTCATCCGAGTGCCCCAGAAAATAATGAAACTTTGTATGGGCTGAATGTTCAACTTCTTTCGTTATATTTTCCCCAAGTGACAGTGGCACACACAAAATTCCGCTGTTTCTAACTTCCACTGCTTTTTCTAATTCTTCGAGCTTCCATATCTTCAGCTTGTCTTCAATCTTGAGACTACAATCCAATCAACACTTCTGGCTTCTTCGCGCTGCATCTTATTGTCTACCTGGAGTTACAGATTTCTCAATTTGTTCAGGACGTTAGATCGCTTTGGGGTCCAGTCTAGTATGTGTTTCTGCTTCGTTTTCAGAAAGGCCTGATGGAAACCTGAGTCCATTATGCCCCGAGTTTCTTACCGTCGTCCAATTGTTCGTCTCGTTTGACTCGTATGAGAGGAGTCAGTTTGTCTGATTTGTGTGGTCTTCCTTCCTTCTGGTACACGAAATCAGGTTGGTGTACAAAAACAGATGGCCAAATGGTCACAAAACAGAGCATGGTTCTAGTTTGCAGATGCATTCAATGCAGCAGCACTCACTCAAATTAATGACGAAAGGTCTATCTTCTGAGAGACTTAACCTTTTCAAAAGGACTTGAGGGGCCGGGTAAAGTTGGTCGATTCCAGCAGTATCTACACAACCTTTCCCGCTCAGCCTGGGTCGTAACCAAAGGTTTTCTACCTGTCCCATCCTCTAAGTTGAGAATAACCGCTTGCTCCCTTACCAAGCTTCGAGTTTCCTATGGGATTTCCTGTACGGAGTTGTCTTAGAAAAATATTTACCGTAGATGGCACCGTAGTGATCATTGTGACTTTACGGTCGAAGTCCAACGTGGCCCACAGGACAGCTGATAGTGCCATATGTCATCCATTAAGATCAATTAATTGCTTGCTGCTCTCTCCCATACCGTTTTCAGGCTTGAATAGGTGTACTGGAAAGTGGAAATGAGAGACATCAAGCGGAACTCTTAGATCCTTTCAGTGAAAAAAGAAACCCTTCATATATTCTCGCCCTTGTTCAAACTGAATTAAAACATCATGCATTGAAAATTAGTCGCTTACCAGCAGTGGTTTTTGTCGCGATTGAATTGAAGAAGCGTCTGATTGCCAATTAATATACCAGTTTCCCCAGGTGGGTATAGGACTGATAATTCTTTCAGACAGCGGAACAAGTACTTAGGATCTCTTATTTCTGACTGCACATCGCCCCGCTGTGGACTTTGGTGGACTGCCGTAAACCTAATCAATGCAAGTTGAGTTCGAAACTCCAATTCCCTCAAAGACGAATGCATTTCATGTAAAAAACATGTAGAAATACGCAATCCACAGAACTTTATGTCTGACTACCCTGAAAACCCTATTCGTGAGAAGTTTTCTGTTCTTCACTTCAGGTTGAACACCTGGACGTTTATGAGCTCGACCTGAAGATTTTCCAGCAACAGGTAGGCTGGGTGAGTCTTCCGGAGACCGGTAAAGTCTCATTTTCCAAATATAGCAATTGATACACCTTTGCAGCAGGAACGACTTTTGACAATATCCTCTCCGAGTTTACTCGATGACGAATAGTCCGGACGAAATGAGGTCTTTTCTGACTCTCTTTCCCATGCTTCTGTCGTTCCCGCGCTTTCTTTTGTAACCAACTGTAAAACAAGTAAAACAGTTAATCAGTGAATTCTTAGTAACCAACTTAAAACAAGTAAAACAGTTAATCAGTGAATTCTTACAAGGTCAAGCTTTTTGAGGAAAATACCGTGTTCATACCGAGGTACTTGACACCGATATTGAAGATTGAATGTGGGTCTGTGTGGATCGTTACACCAACAGAGATTTTGTTTTGGAGCTTTCGCTGCCGGTTCTAAACCTGTGCATTAGGTTAGCTTGGAAACTCTATTCCGGTGATTATTAACCTCAGAAATCCTATGTATGGTATTTAACCTAACGTCGAATGCACGGTTAATGTCCTCTTAATCATTTGACGGATAGCAGATGGCAGAGACATGGCAAACTGAATCCTCAGTTAGGATTTCGTCCTGTAAGTGAATCCAATCTGCGCTGGAAAGCTGAGAACAACTGTGCCGCTGTTTCACCCTTATTGGATATTATAAGCAGTGCGCATCTCACAAAACTCCAGGGAGTTCCGATTTCATGGTTTATGAGATAGAAATCTGAGCAGTTAACTCTTCAGTTTTCAGCGGCTGATCAGCACTGTGGTTACCTCCCACTTAAGCAGGATATTTCATCACCCATCCTTCAATCACGGAAACCACCACGTGGTTATATATTGTCTGACTTCGCGAGTGACGACTTCTCATATAGGATGGCTTGGTGTTTGCTTTCTGGTGCTCCTAAAAGTTGTGGAGCTGACGCTAAAACGATTCAGTGTTATTTCAGCGATAATCTCCAAGCTTTGCTTGATAAATGCACCGTTGATAGCAGTGATTACACTCAATTCCCAGATATATGAAGCGTGTAATACGAAGGTAAATCCCTCGACAGTGAACTCCGAGTGTACCCCAGAAACGTTTCCACTCGACTTATTTTTCGCCACTCAAACATCTTCCCCCCTGTGGCTGCTGAGTTTTTGTAAAGCAAACGTGGAATCTTGAAGTTTAAATTCATAGAAAATCCATTTCTCGGTTCAAAAATTAGCTGTAAAAAATCTTTCTCATTATGTGCCACAGTATGGTGTACCAGTGCCCCCGTAAGGTTTTCCACTCGTTTTTGCTAACCGTTACATGTCATAATATGTTTCGCAACTTACTCCTTGTAGGCTTTTTGACACTGATCCTTTGAGCGCTTCTCGGTGAAATACAAACGTTGAGCCTCCTGGAGATTCTTCAGTTCATTCTCACGGATGCGTTGTAAGGACTTTGCCTGTAACCACAATGAAAGGCGTTTCTGTATTTCAGCCTATTTTTTGTAAAAATTCCGTGTAATAAACAACAATAAAACTGAGGCTCAAACATAATTCTGGTGGGTTTATCTCCCACATTCCGACTAACAGAGAGCAGTTAGCAATTTTGATTTCCACTATAAGGTAAATTCGAGGCCTTCACTCTATTGAAGATGTTTCCACAGGAAAACATGGTCATTAGCTAGTCCGATTAGCCAGACGTTACGGAGTTATGGTTTTCCTACTACAAACTCAAATGCTCGAACCACTGAACTAACAGTGTGGTTGCTATTTCCGCAGGAAGCTATTTGGCTTCTTGAACAGTTTGATCGTTTCCTTGTTGTTAGATAAAGACCAGACCCCTGTCAATTGGTATGCCTAAAAATTGACAGTGAGTGCATTACTTACTTGGGTTGTAAAATAGTATTACACGGTATTTTTCGCAGGAATCCACATGAACTTTTTCGCCTAGTCGCCTGCTTACTTTCTTTCAAGTTGATTACATACATACATACATACATACATACATCATACATACATACATACATACATACATACATACATACATACATACATACATACATACATACATACATACATACATACATAACATAATACAAACATACATACATACATACATACATACAAACATACATACATACATACATACATACAAACATACATACATACATACATACATACAAACATACATACATACATACATACATACAAACATACATACATACATACATACATACAAACATACATACATACATACATACATACAAACATACATACATACATACATACATACAAACATACATACATACATACATACATACAAACATACATACATACATACATACATACAAACATACATACATACATACATACATACAAACATACATACATACATACATACATACAAACATACATACATACATACATACATACAAACATACATACATACATACATACATACAAACATACATACATACATACATACATACAAACATACATACATACATACATACATACAAACATACATACATACATACATACATACAAACATACATACATACATACATACATACAAACATACATACATACATAATCTGTTAATTAGTTCACACCGGTATGGTGGCGAGCTAGCCCATTGAATGCCCCGAATGCCAGTTACCCAGGCTAGGCTATCCATTTGGATCTAAAATCTGGTGACATCAGAATTTTACTACGCCATGACGCTGATAGAAACGAATGGGCTTTGTTTTCAAGCGATCCAACTGCAGCTCAGCTAAACAGGTGCATAGATGCACAGCAACAAAGCTCCTTTCACCTGAAGCTGCCAATTTCCCAGCTGCTTCTGATCTTCACTTGGTGGTGAACACAAGCGGTGAATTCAGCATTATGGCATACACAACGCAACAGTTAGGTTATATTGTTCATGGAGACAAAGAAGATGCCATGCAACTTGCTGCATTTTACGGGCATTACGTTTGTGTTCTGTTAAGTTAGCACGTTAAGGTCATGTTATACAACCCATTGGACTGATGTTAATACGACACACCGATTTGGATTTCACTCTGAATCCATCGTACGGAATAGTATAAAAATCCAGTAGCCTTCATGAATACTGAATAAAAAGTAGGGTTGTGAAAGCTAATTGCAGTTGAGTCAGTTTTAGATAGCAGCCGAAATGTCGAGAAGTCTGTGATATTTTGTGTGCTACCCGGCAGACGAAGCAAGGTGCTTAATCTGCACCCATTTCTCAATCAGTTTATACTAGGTGCAGATAAATTTCAGTTGAGTTAGATTCAATTTCCACAAGTCAGTGAGGATGGGTGATTTTCGCCTGCCGTGCAAGGCAAACACCTTATTTTAATACAGACACACGACAGCATTTCGCATGCTTGTATCGATTGTCATGTTTTGTTTGTATGACGGCTCGTTTGTCCAACAGAATGGTCACCATCGCCCTCTTTTCTGACACAGATATTTAAGCCTGTCTAATCTACGCCCATCAAGCCGTTTCATGAGGATTTGATTCCATAAAAAATGCTAGTGTACCGCCCACAAGTCATGATATAAATCTAGTGTTGTACAGACGTAATGCACTAATCACAAGGTCGCTGAAAATTTTTCAACAGGCCTTTATGGGGCTCATCAGGTAAATGCGGTCCCAGCGTTCCGCAGTTTTCTAGAACACAAACTGCACGAAATTAACATACCGAGTTGGTTTTAGTGACAGACTCACCAGGACCCCCAGAGAAACTCCTCGTTTATGATGCTTTCGCGCACTCAGTTGTTTAAAAGCATCACAAACTATAGATTTATCTGGGTTCCAGGTGATTCTTCCGTAAAAAATACAAACTGATATGCGGCCAAGTTTTACTTTCTGAACCTATTATCATTGTTATTAAAGATTTAAAGAAGCCGCCGAGCATTGTTTCACGAACCCATTAAGTTGGAACTCCAAATCAGTGGCCCATCGTCGGAAGAAAGTAGTGTACTTTAGTACCTAAACTATCAATGGTCCAAAAATGATAGTTCGAAAATCACTCTTCCGCGTATATCTTTCAGTCTAGTTCAGATGTTTGCAATTACCGCCAGAAAAGCTGCAGTATCCTAAAATTATGGGTCAAATTTTGACTTAATTCTCTTTGCTTTCTCTCCTGTTCAGCTTGGGTTCTTTGCTGCGTATGAGTTTTCTTTTGTTCTCGTTTGGTCGCATTCTTTTGTGAAATACATGTCTGCAACCAAGATTTTGTAATCAGTGGACTAAGTCCGAATGGCGCACTGCTTAGGTCACATAGCTCCTTATCAAAAAGTCCGTGGTGGTTTTAACTAGATTTCAACTCCAACGATGCCTCTACTCAGAATGGGCAGTCTGGTAATGTCTTGACCCATACTTATTTGGGATACATGGCAGATCTGCATTGAAATGATACTACAGCTGAACAGCAACCCGATTGTTAGCTGAGGCTACAGAAAATCTTTCACCAACGAGCCAACTGACTGATCTACCAATGTGAGACTCGATGAGGAAGCACGGTTCACTGCGCGGAATCGTAATGCACATTCACAATACAGATCCAGAGAGTCGCGTTTTTGAACTGGGAAGCAGGGTTTAAGCACCCTGCCGTTCGCTTCAAAACCAATGACATTGGCATCAGTTTTACTGTCCATGGGAAATGTTCCATTCTACGATCTTCGTTCTCCAATAACGGCCTTGTTTTCGAATTATTTCAAGAGTTAAAGTTATGTTGAAGCCACCGGGCCAAAATAAACAGTTATCCAAGGCTCAGAAAAAACACTGAAAAGCCTAATGACTGCCAAAACCAGAATAGCTTTACAAACAATTTGAATCAGAAGATAAGACTAATCTGAGCTTCCCCAAAAGAAACGGACACAGAACTTGATCTGAGAAATAGAAAGTGCAAGCCCGCTCAAAACTAATAAAATAAAAATTACTTTGTGCTCACTTTGTTTGTGGATGTAGGAGGTGGTTCTGTGGACATGAAATCCGATGTCTTAACGGACTCTTTTTAAATTTTTTTCCCGAGAGACGGAGATAATTTTGGCTTTGAATATTTTCCTCTGGAATTCTCCATAGAAATCTCCAATGGTCTTCTAACGGTGTTCGCACTGTTAGGTTGACCCACTCGACTTAGAGTGAATTGTATAGCTGATTACGTAAGATACCGGAAAAAGGAAGATGAATTCATCAGCAGATTATTCGCCTTAAGATATTTCTCAAACTAAGAGTTAAAATGATTTATTAGTTAGTTCACTCTGTGAGTAAGGCTTCATTTCCGGAAACAAATTCCTTTGTACATAAGAATAGACAGTTTTATCCATGTTTACATTACTACCTTTTGAACAGTCGCTCTCCCGTCCTGGCGTCATTGTTTTGGTGGGTCCATACCAAAAAAGGGAAGCACTGAACCCAATTTTCTTCCCTGTCGAAACTCACCAGCAGAACTTATCCTTGGCCGTTTGTGAGTTTAAACTCCGGGCAGTCGACATATGAAGCAAACTTGTCACCACTATTCCATCTGCGCAAGCTAAATTCTACACATCCGACAACCACATATAACTAGAAAGGTCGTTATTGCATCCCTATGGTGATTCAATTTTATTTTTCTCCTGTTAAGGAGAAAACAGCGCTCATTTTTGAACAGCTTAAAGCACTTTGAATTAGTTTTGAAAACTTTTCGTCTAAAAATCTACCCCAGTGAAATCAGACTGTTTTTTAGATTTGTCCATAATACGTGTGTATATGTATGTGCATGAGAAATAAGCCGTATTTATTATACTACTCTTATTTACCTCAATATCTGCAAAGTGGGTTCGGATTCGGTCACGTGTTAAAAGAGATATCAGATTGAAGTTTCCCAGTAAGTAGAATCCCATGTACAACTATGCCATGGGCAATGCCTCAACCTAGCAGGTTTGTTTTGATAAACAACGAAGAAATTCCCAATAAGGACAATGCTTTTTGGAATACTGTCAGGAATAACAAAGCACCTACCCGAAGATTTCGATCAGACATTATAACAAGCACAACCTCAGTTGGAAACAAAGCCTGTGTTCACTATGATGGCATACTTGTCGCCACCATTTCCAGTGATTCTCTTACGAAATCAGTAGAGGCAAGATAGCAAAACTGCTCTACGGAGAACATGTTACGCATTTTAACCAAGAGAGTGTTGGCGCACATAGAATTCAACATGCCTGGCACAGAAAAATTCAATCTATTCCCCTGACGGCAAAGCACATATAAACATATGCATATTGATTCACTCCAAGCTACGATGAATTTCATTTAAAACGAACGAACGAAACCATTGGTACCAAGGCCAAAAATAACCATCATTTTTGTTTGCCAATAAAGGCCACTAGGCAAACAAATGATCAACCTCACCATTATCAACTTTTAGGCTGAATAGTATTTCATCTTCCGCGCTCTAATTTGACTAGTCGTCAAAGTATCATTTAGGCTTATTTTATTATTTCCCTGTATACACAGCCGTTATGAACCTATACCCATTTGATTTCCACTATTTTATAAACAAGTAGACGTCATCCAAAATTGCATGCTATATATGCAGTGTGCATGACCAAGTTCATCTGTTACCCTTTGGATGGGTTACGCGTTTGAATAGAGATTTCTTCCTGTAAGTGAATTTGATAAGTGCCTGAAAGCCAAAGAATGTACAGATGTTACGTCCTTATTTGAAGTCATCAGCAGTGCGACTTTCCAGTGTCCCAGAAGACAACCACACCTGAAACCGTCAGGCTAGCGACTGAAGATAAAACTGTTCGGATACCTGTATCTGGTTAGCGTTGTGATCAACTCGCACTTAGATAATTGGAGAAGTTATCATTGACAAAAACATATAAAATCGTTACTTTCCAAACCTAACAACTTCCCGTATCGTGTCTGTATGTTAGTTTTCGGGTTTTACTTAGCAACTGAGTCGAATTTGTTGAATATTAGGCAACATGAAAATAATGAGGTGGTAAAAAATTAAAGAACAGATTTTTTCTTGCAGCGACATAAAAAATTTAACATTTTCATGATTTATCTTATATTGTCTCAGGTTTAATAAATTCGTGGTGATCCATTTACTTAGGAATTTATTATCATCCCTACAACGTGCCGTTTTGATAATGATGCGTTATATCCAAATTGAAATGTCCAGTATTTGTTAGCTCCTCAATGAAGATAGCGCATAAATATGTTATGGTGCACAAATAACCAACGTTGCCAAAAATTCTGTCACACGTGCGAAAATGCCAGACCACTTTATGTCAGTTGAGAGCTGTCATGAGGACAAATATGTGTAACAGTGGTAAATAAATAGCCGCAACGGAACCCGTCATAATGAAACTCATGAAATGACGGTTGATCCTTCAAAAGCAGTTTTCTCATAGTTTATTATTTCCGCTGATCCAGTGCACCTTCACCCTGCCACACCATACTCAGTACCAAATGTGTATTAAATTCAGCATATTTCAAGCTAATCCTCCCCTTTTATGATGAACAAGCCCTCATTATTAGATTTGTTATTCAGAACTAAATTACAATTGAGTTGTATTAAATGACAACGACCAACATTTATCGACCAATTTATCATCTCCACTTAGATCAGTATTGGGTGTCAATAAAGTGCTTTGTAGACGGATAAGAATTACTTCTCAGGCTCTCCAGTACGGTTGCAGGCATCGAACGGGAGCCAGTATCCAGAACGTAGTATATATCAAAAACAGGAGTTCACCAAATGCTCCTTGACAGATTACCAATCTGTGGGATTGTCTCAGCGGTGCAGTTATTTGAAGAGTCTTTGGTTTGCTTTGGGAATTCTGACTCTCTGTTCAAGAGCTTTACGATTCATGCACTTTATGACCAAAGATCTCTGGATTGCTCTGTTGCCCACCTGTGGCAGCAGTTAAACTGAATCTTTCTGCTTTTATTCACATTGTGACTCTCCACAAAATCTCATCAAT